ATGTAAGTTTCCAATGGCCTAAGTGCATTTAAAGGAAAGTTTCTAAAATCGTTTTTTCCCAAGTCCAATATCTTCAGTTTTTTTAAAACTCTAAAAGCATCTGNAGTCCAATATCTTCAGTTTTTTTAAAACTCTAAAAGCATCTGGTGAAATTGAAGATATCCAATTACCATACAAATATAACTCAGATAAGCTTTCGAGGTTTCTGAATAATCCTTTATTTAATTTTAACAATTGGTTGTATGATATATCAAGTATTTGAAGTGATATTAAATCTGAGGAAAAGTCATCAATTTCTCGGATTGAATTGTGTGACAAATTTAGAAGTCGTAAACGGAATAATCCCTGTAACCTTTCTTGAGGCAACAACTCCAAACGATTTAGACTTAAGTCTAGTGTGTATAAGTTTTCTAGAACGCTGAATGTCCCAGGAGATATTTTTGATATACGGTTATTACTTAAATGTAAATTATGTAGATCACGAAAATTTTCAAAATCTTTACTACTTAAAACTGTTAAATTTGTTTGGGTCATATATAGTTCTTCAATATTTGATTTTTCATTGACATATTGTTTGGTTGTATCACGTATTTGAAAAATTGGATTGTGGGTAAGGTTTAAAAATCGCAAATTTTTTATTAATGCTGGAATTTGTCTAAAATTGTTGTATGAAATGTCAAGACGTTCGAGAGATTGAAAGATATTTAGAGGAAATGATGATAACATATTATTAGCCAAATTTAATTCTGNCATATTATTGGCCAAATTTAATTCCGTCAACATTGTGAAATAGGTTGGTGGAAATCCAGATATAGATTGAACACGGTTTGAATTTGCTACGAGAGATTTAAGATTTTTCATGCTTGTTAGTTTTGACATGTCTAATGTTGTTAAATTGTTTTTAATAAGTGATAACTTTTCTAAATTTTCACAGCCCGCTAAAGCAGAGTAAGGCATTACATCTAAATTATTGTCATCCAATGTCAAAGAAGTCAATCGTTTCGGACTCTTGAAGACATCAGGATGAAACGTTATAAAGTTATTATGCCTTAATGATAAAGTGCTTATTTCAAGATTAAACTTAAAAGTTGAACCCGACAATTGATTCAAGTTGCAGTAATCCAGATTAACTTGCTTAATATTGGGAAGATATTTTAAAAATGTTGAATTAAGTCCTATTAAATTATTAAATGACACGTCTAATGTCGTTAAAGTAGGAACGTCAATTTGCAATAATGATTCAGCAGCTAAGAAATTTTTATTCAAGTAGAGTTCGGATAAATCATTCAGGTTAGAAAATGAGCCGTTGTCTATTGTTTTTAACGAGCAGTTATTCAGATATAAATGCTGAATCGGTAGATCTTTTTGAAACATGTATTTATGAAGTTGTATTAATGGATTATCTGATAAATCTAATATAGTTAATCTTTTGAGTGCTGCAAATGAATTCGGTTGTATGTGCGATATACGGTTATTGGCAAGATGTAATTCTTCTAAACCTCTAAGATCAGCAAACATTTTTGATGAAATTTCTTTGAGCTGATTGAAACTTAAGTCCATAAATGTCAAAGCTTGCATAGATTCGAACGAACCTAATTCAATATATTCGATAGAATTATTATTAAAATAAATTCTTTGAGTATGATTAATGTCCACAAAAAGAGTTTTATCTAGTTTTTTTAATTTGTTATGACCCAACCAAATTATTTTTAAATTAGTTTGGCCTTGGAAGGATCTATTATGTATACTAGTTAGTGCGTTTGAATCAATATGTATTGATACTAATGATTGGTTTTGTGAAAATATATCATCCAAATGCTTAAGATGATTACCTTGTAAATTTATATGTTGAAGATTTTTCAATTGAAGAAATGCTCCATTTTCTATTTCAGAAATTATGTTATTTTGTAAATATAATCCTAGTAAATTTGGTAATTTCTCAAAATGCATTTTTTTTATAGTTGATATTTTATTGTTTTGTAGTCGAAGTTCTTTTAAGTGAACATTATTTTGAAATGCATCAATATTAATGCTGTGAATTAAATTGCTATCTAAACTCAAAGAAGTTAAATTGTAACAGTTGGAAAAAGATAAACTGTCTATCCTTTTTAAGTAGTTTTCACTTAAATAAAGTTCATTTAAATCAAAAGAACTACTGAAAGAACCAGGTTCGATATTTTTTATAGCATTTTGGGAAATGTAAATTACAGAAATCTTTATTGAATTTGTAAATGAATCACTTGAAATTTCTAATATATTATTTTCGGATAAAAATACTTCTTTAAGCTCTGGTAAATTTTTAAATAAGCCAGTTATATAATGAATATGATTATGACTTAGATCAATTTTTTTGAGACGTACATTGTACTTAAATGTGTTTGCATCCATATAAATAATTTTGTTATGACTTATATCAAGTGATTCGAGGAAAGTCAAACTACTAAATCCTCTTTTATGAATACCTTCAATTGAATTGTAATAAAGAGATAACATTTCTAGTTTTGGGAATAGACGGAATGCATCTTCAGGAATTGATTCAAAGTAATTAGAACTTAGATCCAACTGTACTAGGTTCTTCATAAAAGAAAAGCGATCATCGTGTATTGACGTTATCTCGTTCCAAGAAAGCCTCAATGAAATCAACCTTTCTAACCGTCGTACTGCTGATGTTGGAAAAGTTTTTATTTTATTTTCTGATAAGTCTAATTCTGATAGACTATTTTCTAATCCAGCAAATGCATATTCTGAAATTTTAACTATTGAGTTTCCTTTCAAATTTATTTTAACCAAATTCAAACCAGTAAACGTGTAGCTTCCTAGCTCGCTTATTTCATTAGATTCGATATCAATTATCTTTAACGATGTTAACCCCATGAAAGCTTTTTGAGGTATTTCTTTGAGCTTGCCAGAAATCATTGAAAAAGATTCCAAGTTTTTTATGTTGAATAGCCCATTTTCAGTAATAATTGATATATTTGAATGAGATATTTGAAGTTCTTTTAATGTGATATTTAGAGGAAAAAAAGCTAATGATAAAGATAAAGCAGAAGAATCGAGGTCATAAATGTTAAGTGATTGAATTGGCCCATTTACAGAGGCTAAAGCAGTGTAAACACTTGTTCCGGAAACTCCAGGACAGTCGAGTGATATCCCGTCTTCTACATCGTGACACCAGCATGATTGGTCTGGTATTTGGCTAGGGCACGTAGTAACTGTATTTTGAAATTGGCTGACAGAAAATGTTTGAAACCATAATAATGTGCATAACCACAGCGACGGCCATCGATCATTGGATTTCATCTCATCGCCATATCATTTGAGTGGTTGTTAACGCAGCTTGTGCATATGTTTCCTGAAATATAAAAAAACTGTTATTATATCGGTAAAAATATTTATTTCTTATACATTTGAATTACAGGTCAATTGTTACAAAATATGAGAACAATAGAAACCGGTTTCCTTATTTACTGAACACCTATATGTATTTGTATTCATTATATTATAATACACATTATAAAATAGCTCATTGAAGAAAAATTAAATTACCATCACAGAATTCTATATTTCTAGCGAAACTTTTTATTTTTATGAAAAACCATTATCGTTTGATTAATTTTAGAATTTTTAATTATAATCCATAAGTCTACTTTTGGTGCAATAGTTATTTTTATAAGGTTTGTTTTTAAATTTAAAATCTTTATAAATATGTGGTTATTGTAAAATAATTTCTGTTTTTATAGTATAAGTTTATTTATAATATCCACGAATAATTCTGGATTAATTGCTTAATTCAATATACATTCGAAGTAATGTTAGGAAATAGTTTGTTATAATAAGAACCGATTCTATAACGAGTTATTTTTGTAGGAACAAACTAAAAACTGCTTCCTTTAAAAATTAAAGAACGTAGATAAATTAATTTTTATAAAGAACATGAACAAAATTTACAATTCCTTTAAATTTTACAGTGTCTAAACATTTTAATCTTTATTTCTAGTTATTATAAATAAAATTCTTCTTCTACTTTGACTACTAACAATATTTTGTACAAATGAAATCAGATGACCCTTATTATATATATTTATTATGTCTTCATTATTTTAACAAAGTTTTATAATTTTAATATACTAATCTAATGTTAATAAAGTAGCCAATGATATAAAATAAATTATTGCACTAAAAATTTCATATCTAGATTTCATAGTGTCATGTATACACAGTATATCATAATGTATTATTTAAGACTTCAATCACATAAAATACCAATCAAAATAAGATATATATTTATACCTTTTAATTGTTTAAATATACTAATGAAATTTCGTAGAAAAAAACATATANTGTTTAAATATACTAATGAAATTTCGTAGAAAAAAACATACATTAATTATATAAAACAAACAGGAAATAATAAACAATATATAGTAGTAATGTGTTAGACATAAGGTAATAAATAATCTGTAAGATTTTATAGAACAAACGGTTGAACATTATGAATTGTAGATCATTATTGATAAAAATGTAATAAATAACATGTAATATTACGATTAATAAAGAAATAATGGTAGCGTCGGTGATCACTACATGTCTTTGTAATACTATCAAAATTAATATAAAAAGCCCAAAATAATAAGCATTCTGGCTCAGATGTCACTCTGATGGTGGTCAGAATGTTCTCACTTGCTTAGATGCGGTCAGATATTCACGGAGGCAGTCACTACGCTCAATCATTCCACACCTTAATAACGAAATATATGCGAAAAGTGATCCGCCGTCTATACAGTTATATTTGTACAAGAATACAATATCTATTTATTTATAAGTGTCAGAGAAAATATCAAGGTTGGAAACTAATAATTTCACCAAAAATATATAAGGTTTAGAATTAAATTTTATGAGTTATATATTTAATATGTGTCTATTTCAGGAATTAGGTTGTAGGTTCATATGTATAGCCACCAAACCACTCTGGGTAGACACTCAAGGTAACTCAATCTCACCTATTATCGTTAACCGTCAAAACACGTGACATTATTGATATTAATGAATTGGCAATTAGTCACAATAAATCTCATATTAAAAAAAAATAAAGATCACTTTATTTTTTTATCATTTTCTATTTTTCTTATAGACCCTCGTACTCATACCCCAAGTAATAACATTATTAATACAACAAAAGTAGTGGCTCAAACAAGCACCCAACACCCTTTCATATTTTATTTTATTTAATTTATTCGTTTAATCTACTACTAGAGTGAGTTCTTTTTGAGTCATTACAATAGGATCATATGCACTGCCTGAAAGTCCAGAGGGTCAGGTTAATAATTCTTTCGCAACTATCCCCACTCGCCAAATAGAAAATTACATGTTTATCTAAATAAAAAATTTTTTAAGGATGAATGAAATTAAGATGGATTTCCCAAATATTTTGTTCAAATTACCACTAACACCGGACGATTAAAATATACTCAATCTAAATTTTGAATTATTGTCATAATAATAGTATATTAATAATAGATGTTTTAATAAAAAAAGAAACGAAAAGGGGAATAAGTTAATTTTTTAGAGGGACTGGATTTAGAATGAGTTTTGATTAAAAAGGAATATTTTCAACAAGGATTTGAAGTTTTGTAAATTTAGCTTAGAAAATTGACACATACAATATTACTCAATATTCAATAATGATTAAAGAGTTTTTGAAATAATACACAAATATATTAAATCCAAGTAATATAATTGTTTAATTTACTCTTAAATAATTCTGACAATTCATGATATTACAATAACAATACAATAATTGTACATAAATTGTAGTACACATATTTTTATATTATTATTGACATATGTTTTTAGTGCTTGTTTCATGAAAACAATGATAAAATCTCTTGATTTCTGTTACGTATGCCATTATTTTTACATTTTATTAAAAAGTTCTGTGTTTGTTTAGTTTTATTTGGAATAAAACTTTATGAGTGATTACATAGATTTTTTTCATTATCATGTAGCCTTACAATTCTATAAAAATGTTGACTGCCAACCTCCAATAATGACGAACCTGGATCTGTCATTCCCAATTCGTTACTTCTATAATCAGTTTTGTATAATTCATTTTTGAGATATTAGTATTTGAAATTATTGAAAAGGTAAAACAGCGGGGTAGTGTTTAGTGACATAATATTTTTACCATAACGGACATATAAGAATTCTTCTACGTTTTGTGCACTACGTTCAATTATAACTAAAAATCATAAAAAATCCAACATTTTGCCAATTGTATAGTTAAATAAAAACGTGGAGTGTTGTGTATATAAGTTTTTAGTTTTAGTTTTTTACATTAGATTATAAAATAGAATAATATAATGGCTGAAAAAGTAATCCCGAAAAAATTTTATAATTATGCATAGGGTTTCTATACTTTTCTTATATTGGCTCTAAATTGCCAAAAGTAACTTTACAGTATTCTAAAAGCAATTATACCTACTGAGTCATTTCAACTATAAAAAAAATTGAGTATAAAATTGGCAAACAGCCTGTTTATGTTGAAATTATTTAACTTAGTAATTATATAATTTAATTACAAATTATAATGTAAGTTAATTCTTTTTAATTATTGGTTGGTAGAAAAAATGTTTGAACTAATTTATAAAAACTTTAATTATTCAGTTTTGCTACAAAAATCATTAGTTTAATCTTAGAATTTAACATATTAAATTTGCTGGAAGTTGTTATAATTTGTAGTATTAAAATGTTAAAAAAAGTACGATTTTTTTCGTTAAAATACTAATTTTTAATATTATAACTTGGAATATAAATTTTATTTACATATGGGCGATAATTATTGGTTCTGAATTAATCCCAAGATATAAATATTGGTAAAGAATTATTCTATTTTTATCCGTGATTTTTGTTTGTTCATTTTAGTATGAATGCGTATTTCTATAAATGAAATTATAAAAAATTTATTTGAATTTTAATTGATCTCGATAATAATTTTTGATATATTATTTATTATATGATAAAATTTCTATGTTTACGAAAGATATAATATTAAATACATTAAAACTACTGAAATGATAGTAAAAATTAAATTAGCTTTACTCGATATAATGTTGGCATTTAACCAAACCTTAGAATATTATTTTGCTAAAAATGGCTTCGGTTTGTGAGATTATAGTCTTTTGAGTATATTAAAAATGATAAAAATAATATTAAGTTTACATTGTTCTAAGTAAAGTTATACTCAATTGAATGTATTTTATGATTTAATCTTTTATTTTACGAAAAAAAATTACTGAACATTTTGTTGTATCAAATAAAATTTGTAAGTAAAATACAGAAAATGAATATATTACACACCTTGAAGCTATTATTTCTATAAACAATTATTTCCTTTTTTTCAATTATGTATTTAAGTTGTACCTTGTAAACGAACAAGTTTTATTATTAGTTAACAAAACTTATACTTAAATAAAAAAGTGCACATCATTTATTATTGATTTTGACTTCTTTTTTAACAGTTTAGATTTAATTTATGAATATTATAATTATTTTATTTATATATAATTTCTATTAATACTTTAACTTAACAATAGANTATAATTTCTATTAATACTTTAACTTAACTTTAAAATGTTTTATTTAAAATTAGGTATGTTTATGTTGTACAGTATTTCTGGGTCTTTATGTGTATATTTCAAGAAAAGATAAAATTTTACGGAAATAAAAAATGAAATAAATTACAGAGACGACGATCTTCGAAGGTTTGCCTACGAAGGGCAAAGGCGATTTCAAACGAANTTGAGTATATTAAATATGATAGAAATAATATTAAGTTTACATTGTTCTAAGTAAAGTTATACTCAATTGAATGTATTTTATGATTTAATCTTTTATTTTACGAAAAAAATTACTGAACATTTTGTTGTATCAAATAAAATTTGTAAGTAAAATACAGAAAATGAATATATTACACACCTTGAAGCTATCATTTCAATAACCAATTATTTCCTTTTTTTCAATTATGTATTTAAGTTGTACCTTGTAAACGAACAAGTTTTATTATTAGTTAACAAAAATTGTACTTAAAAAAAAAAGTGCACATAATTTATTATTGATTTTGACTTCTTTTTTAACAGTTTAGATTTAATTTATGAATATTATAATTATTTTGTTTATATATAATTTCTATTAATACTTTAACTTAACTTTAAAATGTTTTATTTAAAATTAGGTATGTTTATGTTGTACAGTATTTCTGGGTCTTTATGTGTATATTTCAAGAAAAGATAAAATTTTACGGAAATAAAAAATGAAATAAATTACAGAGACGACGATCTTCGAAGGTTTGCCTACGAAGGGCAAAGGCGATTTCAAACGAAAAAAAATGATTGTAAATCTTTCGGAAAAGCAAAACCGAAAAACAAACGATTGTATTTCTGTACTTCAATAAAACGCAATCGTTTTGGGGTCGCAACAATAAACGTTTAGGAGACCATAAGGATGCTAGTGTCGTGACATGAATTGAGGGATGAAATATCGACAACACGACCTATCTGTATTTAAATAACGCAGATGACTACAATTTTATTCATACAGAATATGCAAGTTCGAGGGATAAAAATGAAAAAGGTATCTGCGTTTTAAAAGCATGTAGGCCGAGGATGTATAAAATTAGGTGGCGATCATACGCGGTGCTTAGATTTTCTATATTATTCGGTGTGCTTATCAAAGTAAAAATGGTCCCCATAAATTTGCCCGTCTCAGGTACTCATATTTTGAGCGTTTTATTTTTCGTTTAAAATCGCTCAGTTAAGTAAACCAATTCAAGTGTTATTATGTTTGTTTGCATCAGTGCGTTTCAATTTTGTTCTGACTTAACGCTTAGTTATAATACCAATGTAGAAATATAATTGAAAGTTTTTGTATTTTTCGGACATAATTTTGAACTTTTCCACATCGGTATGTGTTTGTGTTGTTTAAAAATAAAGAGGTAAACAAAAGTACCTGAGTTTTATTTAAAGGTATAAAATCATTATAGAAATTATGAACGGTTGGGGGATTATATTTGTTTTAAACTAAAGTTACCTAAATATCACTAAAATTGTATTCGAATTGGACAATATAATTTTATTAAAAAATATAGCAATTGAAGTTTTCTTTAATCTTTTTATGTTTTTAATGCAGTTTAAATTTTTACATAGATAAATTCTCGGTGTGTCATTTGAATAAATTTATTTAAGTGAATAATTTATGGTTTTTCAATAAAAAAATTATTTTTTCATTAACAAAAAAATCTGTATTAATGGCAATTTAATCTAATTGATATTTACTCAATATATATTTTTAATAAAATGTATAGCTATTATATTATTAAATGTTCGCAATTAAGTTGCTTAATTAAAAAATGAGTAATAATAATAAAATATTGTGAAGTAGCATGAGTATATAATAATTATAATCCATTAAATTAACATGAAGATAACACTTATAGATTATTATTTATTTAATAGTTATACATTTATGAACATTTATTTAAAATTAAAATTATAATAAAACATGATGTTATTCTTACATTATAACATTATGCCACCAAAGCAATGTCGTTAAAAAAAAATGTTTAGATATATATATTTCCTAATAAAAATTAATTTATCGGGATAATACTACCACCAAATTTTCTATAATTATAATTATTTTCATTTAAATACATTTTTCATGGAATTGGGGACACTTATTTGTGTTATCCTATCTAATATATGAATTGCAACTGTAATACATGGTCAATATATCAGATGATTAGCACTGCTAATCATTATCTTAATAATTATTAATATTTCTATAATATTATTCTATTATTGAATAATTATTATAATACTTCAAATAATTTAAAAATAACATAAAAATAAATTTGTTTGTAAAGTGATTAGTTGTTTTAAGTTAAAGTATAATGTTTACAATTTTAATTATTTCATTCAAAATGAATGAACCCAAAAAGAAAACTATCAAAACTCACATTTTTTCGCAAATATGTGGAAAACATTTCTCAAAAAAAAAAAAAAATTATGATAGTTTACCTTTAATGTTTATCGTAAGCGGTAATAATTTTTATGTACAATTTCAATTTTATAACTTAGTAGATAAAAATAAAATAATTCATAAAATAAACTATAACAATATGATTTTTATAACAAGAAGTTAAAAAAAAGTTGGAATTATAATTAGTTAGGGTAATACTAATATTATCATTAATAAGAGTAATTTCATCAAAAATTGTTTTTTAGAAAATTACATTACATTTCATATGATATGAAATATATATTTCAATACATACTTTTCATTACATACTTTTCTATACATTAAATATTTAAAGGAGGTAAGATAGTCTATATTTCAAAATTCGTTTCTTTGCCTTAATTATTATACAAATCATAAAATGTATAGTCAATTATACTTAAATACACAATAATCATCTGTATCAATATTTTACAAATATACTGATACATTTTGTTTCATTTTCAAACGTTTTAAATAAAAGAAACACGTAATTTATTAGAAATTTGATTTTAGACTCAAATAAATATTTTATAAATTCAAAAATTTACGATGTAAGTGAAATTTAAATTCTTAAATAATCGGAACACAGGTTAGTAATAGAGGAATTTAAAATTTAATTATTGATTATTTTATATGAGTAAAATAAAAAAAATAATATTTAATTTATTTCCCTTAACCAAAAACTTTTTGAATTATTATTAAACAAGATTTTATGCACCCAAATTTCTATAAAAATTAAATTATTTTCAGCGGTTAACAATAAAAACTTTATGAACAAATTTAGGTATACCATAAAGAGAATATAAACGAAGATGTAGTGAAATTGCATATATAACGTGCCGTCGGATATTATTTTTATTAAATTTCTACTTCACTATATTATGTTTAAGCTTTGTATTAAATATAATTTAAACTTCTCGGTATACGTTTTCTCATTCACATAATAAAGTCACGATTACATTGGAATGTATATGTGTATAAAATGTATTGTCATCTCAATTTTTTTATTTTATTATACGTACCATCTAGTTAACAACGAGACTCCCATTTTCCTGTCAAATGGTCAGATTAATTAATGAAAGTTTCGTGTTGACCAACTTAATAATTACGGTAAGGTTATGATATTAAATTTTAAAATGTTGATTGCATAGCATAATTAAAAACATTAAATTAAAACACATTTGTTATTATTCCTGCGTATAACTTTAATCTTCGAGGGTGTATAAATATTCATATTATTTTTATTATTGTGGTACGTTTTGCGGTTATTTCTCGGTATTTTATGAGATAGTAATTCTCACTCTTCACTCCTTTTCATTCAATTAGTTTCTTATTAATAATTTACGCTATTACACTTGTCAAAGATTAATATATTTAAAAATATCTAGTTATTTATTATTTTGCTTAATCAAGAACATCAACAGTTGACAATATACATCAATGTATTATTATTAATATTTTTGAATTACTTACAGTACCTCCGATTTTTCAAAAAAACTTTTATAAGGTAATTAAAGTTAAATTATATTTGCTATAATTATATTATGCGTTGCTGTTTTTTTCTAAATCGTTCAGCAATCATTAAGTTTTAAGAAGTTCAAAAATGTGTGAAATATATTTAATTTATCTTAAATTATTAACTATTTATTTAATCGTATAATGTCAAAAAATATACTTGTTCATATAATAAGAATTAATTAATCATCAATTATTTATTTGTTTGCCTAGTCACACCGTAGAACTAGACTTTAATTAACTTGAGTTTATTTTATTTGACAATTATACAGATCAATATACATAACATTAAGTACTTAAAACTGACATTTTTTACGAATAAACAATTATTAAGCTTCTACGACTGTTAAAATTTTATTCGATAAATTAGAAACTACCAATAATATTTATTAAAAAAAAAAAAAAAAAACAAAAAAAATACGTACTCTTGAAAAAAACTAAAAAATAAATAATTTTTACTTATTTACTATTAGTGTACCAATAATCGGTTAGGATTGATCCCAAAATCTTTAAATATTATAATTAAAATAAATAAGTATATTTATCTAAAAAGTATTTTAGACTTGTTATATTATACTTTGAATTTTTTTTATAAAACATTTAATCTTTGTGATGACAAATAATATTAACTGATTGAAATATTGTTATAACCTGTGATTTATTATTTACCTGCATTTGTATTGTAAAAATTTTAATTTGCAAGAGACAAGTATTAATAAATTTGCGAATAGCTAAAACCAAATTTGATTAGGTGTCTAAATATAGGCATAAATATACACTTAAAATAGCATTGTTTTTATCTATTCACATCCAAAAAGGAAATAAAGTTGAGGCTTTGCTTGAGCAGTTTAAAAGTAATATAATTTCAAAAGTGTAACAATAGAAATATAAGTTACAAGAGAGCCATCTCAGGGGCAGTATTAAGTTACAGAAATCGAAATTATATTGTAGTGGTAAAAAGTTATAAAACTATCGGAGAAGAAAACATTCTAACTAATAATTTTATTGCAGTGGTACGAATTAAATTGTTGAAAAAATAAAGTCTGCCATTATGTTATAGACAGTTAAATCGGAACAATAAATGTAAAATCTAAAAAGTACATATTTTTCAAAAATCTATATCAGTGAATTCGATTTTGGACCAATGTATATTTGTATATATTGAAATTATGTAAATAGTGAATAAATGATATAGTAAATGGTTGAAAATCAATTAATTTTATTATGTTGAAACTTTCACAAAAAAAAGAAAACTATTGACATTACTTACGAATTACATGATCTTTAAAAAATTATGCATTAATATATTTGTCTTTGAAGAAAGCCATTTTAAGACGTTGTAATTATTTATTCAAAATTTTCTATGTGATCACAGTAATAAAATGTTTATATATTATGAAAGATGATTAACATCATTATAATTGCCTTAGGTGTGATCGTTAGTGCAGTTTAATTAAGCTGTTCTATTCGTGTGCTGTAGTTATAAAATATTTCATAAAAGCTATTTGTTTTGAAACTCATTCTGAATTCAGTTTTCTTCTTATGAAACCCGGCTTTTTATCGTGGATATATAAATTTAACTGAGGTTATGATAATATGTCATGGTTATATTCGTCAGACCGTTTTTATTATTTGACCGAGTATTATGTGAGTACACCTACACACGATATATTCAACAGTAAGTAATCGAAATACTTACACGTTTTGTCGGGTTCTAGTGAAATGCATAATGAGTCTGTCAAACCCTTGGCTCTATCCTGTAACAAACAATGATTTGGACCATTAATATTCAATAAGACTTTAGAAAGTTATTATATGGACAATCCTAAAAGGAATCAGTACTGCAACGTTTGAAATTATTTCACATACATTTGTAAGCATATATGATCATTAAATAATACAAAGATTTTTACTGCATTGTTAAAATCATACAAATTATTGTATCTTATAGAAATAATTTAACAATAATATCTCATTATATTTTTCAGTTTATTTTTTTATATACCTGTTTTTTATTATAATGATTGACAGTTTTGATGCTTACTAAAAACTTTTAACAAAAGCGATGATTGTATTTCATGTTTAGTATATTAATTAAAATTTATAGCAATCAAAACTATAAGACTAATTTGAGGATTATGTGGTATGTTTAGAAATAACAAAATTAAGAGACTAATTTTACAAATTGTGAATTCATTACTGATGAATATTTAATAATAGTTTTTTTTATAATAGTTTTTCTATTCATATATCCTCAATAGTCCAAATTTGGAAATACCTTTTTTTGAATTTTTGTATGAAGATCGTCAATGAAAAAAATAAACAAATTTATTAGTGTTAATAACTCACATAGTGCAATGTTTTTCATGCGTTAAAAATTTACAAAAATAAACTATCTGACACATAAAATTTATCAAAAATCAATAAAATAAATTCTAACTAGAGTCTTCAAAAAAATGCAAGAATTATAATAATAATAATAACATTAATTCTATAAATATTTTAGAAAAAACAACTATTTTTCACATCGTGAAAATGTTTAAAAAACTTAAACTATTGAAAAATGACGATTCCATGTTATTATTACATAATGACTTTAAACTAAATGATAGTCTGACTTATTAACCACACTGCACTTTCAGTTTAAATTTATATTATTCATTTATGACATTAATTTTTGCGACATTAACATTATTCACTTTTATCGGGATTTTCCTACATGTAAAATTTGTATTTCATTTTTCACAAATTTTGGTCAGAACTTAATATCTAGACAACGTAAACATTATCTGAAACTTCATAATGTCACAGCAATTACTATATTGTTAAATTATGTACTATTATTTCATTAAATTTACCATCTTTAAAATACTGTTAAAATAAATCTTAGATCTATCGTTAATAATATCGTTTATCAAAAGTTAATTTAAGTATTAATGATTATATTAAAATATGAGTTTTTAAATATACTACTGAAGAAAAACTCTTAGAACTTACAAGAATTTTGCTTTTAAAACATAATATTTGCTGTTCTTCATTTTACAAGGAAACGAATGCTTTTAAATGGTTACAAATAGATTTTAAAAATGAGTTCACCTCAAAAGTTAATAACCAACAGTTGTAAATATTGCACACTATTTGACGAAAATACTTCTTTCTGTACACAGGTCAACTGTATAAAAAATATTTTTCAGAATTAAAGTAACTTTAATGCTGAAACTTAAAGCTTTTAATAAGAATATGCTGAGGAGAAACGTGATCATCATTCTTTATAATAAACTTTTTCCTTTTAAGATTAGTTTTTTCAATTATTTACGTTTTATTGTAAGATATTGAATGGAGTTAAATATTATTCTAAAAACAAATGCATAGAAATACAAAAGAACCCTAATTCGATGTATTGGTACTGAACGCTTGAACACGATACTAATTATAATTTAAAATAATTCTCTTTGTTTTATACTCATTAAATTTTACAAATAGTAGTAATACTTTCTATATTCTAATTTTTGTAAATTTATCGTAATTTTTCATTGGAATAAAATTTAAAGTACTTAGAAAAATGTTTTTTAAATAATAGAACGGAATTAAAATACCAAGAGAGTTTTTGAAAATAGTTAATCAACAATTTTCTATAATAGTAAAAAGTAAAATTTATTCTAATAGAAATTTCATAATAAATAATTTTATTATTCATGTAAAATTTTAAAGTACATCTTTTTATGTTTAAGAATAAAGTTTCTATTTATTTCGTCAAATTTATAACGTAAAATAAGTTTGTAGAAAATACAATTTTTTTTTAAATTTAGTTTTGAATTTATTGAAGTGTATTTTGTAATATTATTATTTGATAATTGATATTGTTTTAAAAATAAAATAATAAAGATATTTTTTCTAGAAACGTTTTGTGATATGGATCTAAAAAACAACAATCCATTATAACTTTATTTTATGTACATTAAGTGTATACAAAGGATTAGAAACCCTTGCAAATGTCAACAGTTTTGAGCTGTCAGATTTGAATTTCAAAATAGACATCTTAAGTAGTGGGTTGAAAATGTTGTTTATTTATTTATAAGATAATATGAAAAAATCAAAAACATTGGGAAATAATGTACCAATATTTAGGTAAACTTGATTCTTTTCTAGGTGTATTACTCACTAAAAAAAAAAAAAAAATTTACATAGCACTATTGAAATTTATTCTCAAGGGTTTTTACATGAACGGGTAAAACCATTCATTATTAGAAATTCATGTTTGTTTTCGATTGTCAGTAGATAAATATATGGTAAAACTTTATGGGCTAAACGTCGCTGGTTGAATTGTCAACATCAGCTTCCGTTTAATAAATATTACTCGCACACGTTCTTTATTTTCCATTGGGTTTTTGTTCACAGTTTGTTTGTTTGTCTTTTATGGGAGCCTCGACTAAGGGTAGTAAACTTGTGCAATAAACGTTCAGACAGTTAACAGAACACGCATACACCGAAAAAAATCAAGTTTCAACTAAGACCAGTATATCTTATTTAAAATACTTAAATTTCCGTTTTTATCATTTTCTTTTTTTAAATTAGCTGAAAAGAATCAAAAAGAAAATCATACGTTTAAATTCAATTTCGTTTATTATATCTTTATTTTTATCAACTGTATAATTCATTTGTATTATTGTTTTTATTTTTATCTTTATTTATTTAAAGTTCACATTTTTTTTACATATCATTCTATTGAGTTCAATTAATTGCTTAGTATGTAGTACATGAATTGAAAACAATTTTTGTTCATATTATTGTTGGATAAAAATACCGATAAGATATCAGGATAAAAGTTTATTACTAATATTAGTTTTTAAATGTTCGATATATTGTAATATTAAAATTATTATAATTCAAAATTTTTGGTTTGGTGAAATTCTATATTACTTTGGTATAATGTTATACTATTCTCGTAGAATAATTTCAATTATGTTTATGAATTGAGACATATGAATAATCTATTAACATATAACTAATTTAAAGTGGTGAGTAGTTGTTTTATAATAAATATTTATTAGCGCATTTTCTGTACGTTACAAGAGCTATTAGTAATTAGCACTTTGAAGTTACAAGAATCGTGCTTTTTGCCAACTTAAATATTAAAAAGTTTGTGTTTTTTTTTAATAACGATATCGTCAAAATCCAGAAAAATATCGACGTGTAAAATTATATTGTTGCCCATCATAATTTTATATAAGAAAAGCTTTTTAGAATTCCACGAATTGGGTTGTATTTTATTATTATGATTTCATTATAAATAATAAAAGATGAACACAAGAAGTAAAAAAGACAAATTTCATTTCTTGCGCTGTCTACAAATAACATTTTCTATTTTAATAGGTTCATTCTCTCAAAACTAAAATGATGCCACGTAAACGAAGCTTTAATTGAATGGTCACTTTATTTAGCAAATCACGATGTTGACAACTCCATTGAAGAAATTTTAGTGGATTGATGACAAAACTAACTGATTTCTAATTTTGAAGTTATTTCAGTCAGTAATGACAATGAGATGAGTAAATTTACTGTAGTTACATAAGTACCATAGGAAAGTGCTTTCTAACTTTGTTTATTGAGAAATAGGACTAAAACGGGGTAAAAGTTCAGAACTGTTACCTTTGAAGACATTTAATAGAACTGTGACTTAGTTTAACCTAAGTTTAGTAAACATTCTTAATAAAATACTCAATTTAACATGTTTTAACAATTATAAATAAATTTTGATTTAATTAAAAAGTTTTCTATTAAATATAAAAAGTATATAGATTTAATAACTATTAAATCTAAGTATATATTGTCTATGTTCATTAACCAGAAACAGTTTTAAAGGTATTTATACNATATATATTGTCCACGTTCATTAACCAGAAACAGTTTTAAAGGTATTTATACTATAATAATTTTAAGATGTTTAATTAATATTTTAGTTTTCTATATAAAATGTTTTTATGAAAATATAATAATGATAACGTTGCAAAGAAAAATACAATTAAAAGCCACGAAGAAAACTGACAATATAATTAATTATATCGAGTTATGTACTGCCTAAAATTATGATTTTTTTATTGTGTATAATGTATTTAGGAAAAATCAGAAACAGCCATCCACAATTTCATGTATTAAGATTACTATTACTTAAGATCATCTAATAATATATAATTAATTGCAAACATCTTTATTCTGATAAATTAATGACATTTAATTAAAAAATATGAACATTTTTTAATTTCCCATATTGTAGTAAAAGTAATAAGTTTTGTAATGGTACAGTTTAGATAAAACATTGTAAATTAAAGTATTATTGTATAATGTGCGACAACATCATATGGGATTTTTACGTTCGTGTTATGTGGTGGCGGCGCTGGAAAAATGTTGCCATGCGTAAGAAGGTGATAAGAAGATAAAATTAAAGGTTGGTTATGTTTATTAAAAAAGAAGAAAGTTATACGTTTTTGATATCTGTTGTTTTTTTAAATGAACACATTGTTTTTCTTATTCTCTCTAATATAAACTAACAAGTAACAATAAGATTTTCATGATGAATTAAATGGAAATACTAACGAACTATGTTTAATCAATGAATACATCACCGATACGACTGAATTAAGGTTAGAAATATAACGACTACTAATCATACACAACTCGTACACATACATAGAAAATGAATATGTTTATTTTAAAATTTATATAAATTTTTTAATTGTTGTTTAATACAAAAACTAAT